TTCTTCTATGATATTCAATTTACTCATCTAAAGTTCTCAGTAAACCTATTTAACTAATCCAATCACATATCTCTATACAAATCTACTTTAGTTAAACGAAATATTAGTTCTAAAAATTCATGTGATGATCGTAATATTTAATATAGGTATCTCTACATTAGTATATGTATCTCTATACGTTATATTAATATACCGAATTTTACTATATGCTCTAAATCTTCAACTCAAGTAGATTACATTATTTGTCTTAATATAAAGTTTAGCTATTCATAATGATAGAAGAAGAAAAACAAGAAGTTGTTATTGAATGCATCACCGGGTTTTGAATAAAGATGTAGAAAAATAAATCAATCTTGCACCAAGATATTCTTCCTCCTTCAATCAATGCTTCAAAACTTGAATTTTTTGATATTTTTCTCCTTGAATTGCTCTCTTCAAGCTCTAGTTGTATTCTCTTTTGTTTGTAATGTGTCGAACCCCTAAAATTTCCTCCTTTTCTTCTATTTTTACTCTTCTCCACGTTTGTATCGAATATAGGGTTTTATGGGCTTTAAAATGGGTTAAAACATTGTAACCCTAAAATAGGTGGTGCAAAGCCTAGGCACGCGTTATAATACTGGGTAGCGTCTAGGCGCTGCATCTCTGTTCTTCTGGTTCCTCATAGCACCTAGGCGCTTGGGTTACAACGCCTGGGCGCTAACTTACCGTAAAAAGATTTCCTTCCTAGCCCTTGAACGCTCCGAACATGGCGCCTAGGCGCCATTTTCCTGATTCTTTCCCCGGACATTTTGACTTGTTTGTTCACTTCAACACAATTTTTACTCCACCACCTCGTACCTTTAAAACAACACTAGTAAACACATCAAAAACATTATATACTCATAATATTTAACCAACAATTAAGTTAAAATTGTATAAAACTCGTGAGTAAAAACACACTCGTCAGACGATAGATTAATGGAAGAAGAAAAGGAGATAATATTGCTGCTGCTGCATCATAATGAGAAGCTGGCAGCCACTATCGACTAAAGACAATGACCCTATAATTGTCATTACAGTTGGAGGTTGCCAAATATTTCACTTCAAAATTGGGCAGCGTTCTTGCTGAGAATTTGGTGATACTT